TAAGGGGTCTACCAAGTTTCTCCCTTACAAAACTACCCAGCGTTTTTCTGCAAGAGTCTAAACTGGCTTGTCTTAAAAAACAAACCTGTTCTGTAAGAAAACTCTTTGCATCTTAACTGCATTCCTGAGTTATAGTTAGACCAAATACACTTAGCAAATTTAAAATATTTAAAGCCAGTGTCTTCTGACAATGACTAAGCCACTGTGGTTCAAGATGTGCCTGCTAAAAAAACACACACCCTCATTTACTATAGCTTCAATCGATAACATAAGCACAATTAAATGGAGAGTTAAAATCTTCACCAAGATATTCACAAGTTCTCCATCACAACTACAGAAGGAGGCTGGGAAAAGCAGTTTTCATAAGGAAGCAAATTTTACATTTGAAAATAATGTTGGAAAAAAATCTGGAAAATAAAATAAAAATATTCCGAGCCATTCTAACGGCACTTTTAAGGGACTTAATTAGCACTGGAATAAATTCATTCACTGGAGTGCTAATTGTGGAGCTGTTAGCTTCAGACCCGCAGAAACAGTCAATACACAAAACAAGCAACATTAGTGCTGTAACACCTGAATGAAAACTAACAGGTGCTACACCCCAGTAGGTACTAAAAGCTACAAATCTTACTAGGAAAGATTTTGTTTGGGTTTTACATATCATTTTCAGAAGGTTCTGAGCAAGCTGGGTACAGCTCAGAGCCTAGACTCTTCCTTCTCAGTTTCAGTCTCTGTGAATAAGTCTAATGTCATTAGGGTGCCATTTAAGTGGGTTAGTTCCTTTATAACAATTTGTTAGCCATTAGCTGGAGATGCAACATAAAAGCTCTCTGTTTGGTCTAGCAACTTCTACTCTATTACAGTACAAGGCCAATTTTCACAGACAACTTCTGCAAAACAAAACAAACAGACATTAGTACACACACTGAATACACAAGCTTATGAAAAAAACGGCAGCTAAATTTCCTGTCCCCACCCGTGCAAAAAGATTCCACTGAAAGTTGTTTTTTTTCCCCCTAAAGACGACTGGATTCTATTCAATATTTATAAGTATTGTTATATATTCTTATAAGGGCATACCTGATCTTCAAACAGAGGAGAATAACTATGGAAATCAATACTATTTTTACAGCCATTTTCAGCATACAATAACACTGTACTTGTTATGGAAAAAGTAACTGATTTTTGGGTATTCTGTAAATTTCCATGGCAAGCGATTAAAGAATAAATTTCCACAAAAGTTAGGTATTTAGAGATTTATCTTGACCCCTTTTATCTTTGGCTTAGTAGAGTTTTATCATACAGAACAAACACCAATATTTTGTCTTCTGTCCCCAACAACACATTTTAAGATTTTACCCATTCATCTGTGGAATATGGAAGCAACTAAAACGAGATCCAGTTATCAGAGCCAAGTTACATACCAAATTTTATTGCTTTAAATTGAATAAGCAAAATTTTTACTGATATCCTTAGATAATCTGATATTAAAAATGCACAACTAAATTAAACTTACTGATTCGCCAAGTTTATCCAAGTTGTCCAGGAAATATTTTACAGATTCCCCCTGAAAAGCAAAGTGAACAGATTAGTGTTTTTTTCCACCATTAAGTGGCAGAATTGCTCATAATAGCCTACATTGTGATGTCCAGTTAACTCACTTTAACCAAACAAATCTGGGATAAAAGCCTTAGCCATCAGCACTTACAAATTCTGCACATATGGCAGCAAACCCATGAGAAGAAATTTAGCAGCCTGATATTCACAGGAGCTAAACATATAACCTTAAAAACATGGAGAAAAATGCATAATGGTTAACGTATTTTTAAAGTTTAGGACTTTCAGATGCATTGTACTGGTGCTATTCACTTGGGCCCTCAGCACAAGAACCACCCCAGAGTCAACCAGCTTCAGCACAAAATATTTTCAGTTAGTACTTCATATGATTCAGTAATCCACATAAAGAAAAAGTGCATGGAGATTCAAGTCAACTGTGATAAACTCATTTGAAATGCACACTGAAGTCAGCACCCGCAGTTCTGAGCTGAGCTCCATGCTGCACTCTGCATCATCCTGCTTCTGTCCAACAAGCTTGGAAAGGGAAGGCAATACTGCACCTGAAATTCGGAATGACCTCCGACATGCAGAAACTGTGTAAGATTTATAGAAACTTGAAATTTTGCATGATCCCAAGTGACAGTTACATCTGTCATTGCATCTGAAGGAAGCGCACTTTTGAGACTACCAATATTGTAATACAAGCGATGGAAGGTGACTTTCTTAACTACCAAGCAGCTCAAACATGGTTTACTCAGTAGCAGAAATACCAAGTAGCACATGTTCCTGCTTTTAAATCTTGGCTTCTACTCTATTAGTTGAGGTAAAGTTACCTAAAATTCTTCATCTAGAATGAAGAGGTTTTCCATTTCATAAATTAGCACAGATGAAGAGGGATTCCCTTAAAAGTTACAGCAGTGAAAAAGGAGCAGAGCCGCATGTTGGCAATGAATTCCCTTCGTCTACCAAGTAACGGAGGAAGTCTTCTAATCCATTCCAGAGAAGCAGTAACTTGTTCTCAGCACTGAGATGACCGATTAAGTAACCAAACCACCAGAAAGATTTCTGGTTAATTCCGAAGGCACATACACACATTTTTGCCACTCTCCCAATTACTAATTAGAAACCTAGTGACGTATACACCACACAGGTTTTAAACAGGAGCCTTTGACCAGGCAAAATTAGGATGTTAGGGACAAGGCATGCCCATGTACTTGAGGCACCTGCAGAGTCAGAAATAGGTAAAAAAAGCTACCACATTGCAGTCTACTTGCTTTAATGTTGCTTACTTTACTTAAACCGACAATCCACAGCAATGGAAACACTGAGTCAGTACTGTTTTCAAGTTTGTAGGATGGCTGCTTGCTATGACTAAACCAGGGATCAACATTTCACACATGCACCTTCTGCTCTAGAAGCCCTGAGTGCTTCATCAACTGCAACTTTAAGGCCACCCTTTGGAGGGAAGGACCCGGCATTCCTTCTACACGGGAGGAAGCTGCGAAGATCTGCTCAGGGTTACACAGGAAGTTTGCAGCACAGCAAGGGTGGGGGGAGAAGCATCCAGACTAGGCCTCCTCCTATTCCTACAGCCACTCTCTCCAACCAAAGCTAAAACCAAGTGCACTCACAGTTCAGCTGCTAAATCTTTATTAGACTGCAAGAGGCATCATGCTAACTATAAGTAACTGTTCTTGATCATCTTGGTACCAGACTCTGCAAAGCTGCTTCTACTTTTAATGGCCCTATCTGTGCCGTTTAAAGCAATGGCAATGCTGTCATGAGGCCTTTGCTCTTCAGCTGGCTACTACGTCTCCATGGCTGCAGTAATGACTGAGCTGTTAACACCACCCAAGCAGACCACCACCTGTAGGAGGTCAAAGCCACATAAAAAAAAAATCTTGCCAAGAGGGGATTTCCTGGCAACGTAAAAGCAAAATACATTAGCTCACAGTAATGGAACTACCAGAGTTTCACATATTTGACACAATGTACAAACTGCTGCTCAAAAGCTGCATTGAGACAGTGCCTTGGTTCCAGCTTGTTTGCTGCTGTGTGCATTAGCTATCAGATGGCCATTTAAAAAAAAATCATTAAAAGGCTATGGATGAGGAATGTTATTATGACAAGCAAAATTTAGCTTGCACAGGGGTTACATTATTTATATTTTCTTCTCCCATATCCAAGTCTATTTGTTGGCAAACTACTTATTAAAATCCATTCAGGTCCTGCAGACATTCCTCTGCTTTGTTATCCCTCAGTATTAAAGTTGTTCAATCCTTGGGCCTCTACCATGTAATATCACCACAGACTTGCATGGCTTGAATCCACTATCGTCTAGCCCTCACCTTCTGGTTTTTCTTCCTTACCCTGGTCATGTTTGCACGTTCACTTGTAAGTGAGCCTTAACTGCTATTACTTTTAACTCAGCTTGGACCCTCTTCAAATTTTATTCCACTAAGTACTTAGTGACTAGAGTCCAACTCTCAATTACTAAGTTATCCTGATAAATGAATCTCACAGCATGAAACTCAAAGATGAGGGAGAGTTTCACCTGGGTGATAAATTCCCTCGACTTACTGTAAATATTTATAAAATGATCAAGGAAATCTGCTGGTCTCCTCCAGAGCTGTAGTAATCTTGTTCCCTGTAAGAATAACCGCAGTTACATTTAAGCATTGAATAAAACACTACACCCAACCAGGAAAGGCTGGTATTGAAACAATTACAGGGTAAATGTAAATATATAGCTTTCAGGACAGAAAGTATCTTCACTCCTACTAATTCAGTCAAAGAGCGCTTGGAATATACAGGTAAGACTGTGACATAGGTCCTGTCAGGCAGATTTGCAGAATAGTTTCAAAACTTCCCTTGACTACCTGACCTTTGACTGGCTGCCAGACCTGTCATGTTTGACTATCTGGATAAGACAAAACCTACTGGAGCCAAAACTGCTTCTGTATTAGACCTAATTTCAAAGAGAATATATAGAATTAAGAATTACATACTTGATGACTTAAACTGTGCCATATCTGAGCACCCTGCATTACACAAATTTGGAACCAGGCTGCATAAGGGAGATGTGAAACATTTCTGTTTTGGGACTTCTTGGGGGCGGGGGGGCAGGCTTACAATACCCAAGACAGCTTAACCCCCAAAAAGCATTTACGTGCAACTGACAGTTTAAGGCTTCATCTTCACGATTAAACTCCAAAGTATAACATGCAAACGGCAGACCGGAAGTCTTTAATAAAGATTTGAAGTCTTCACCTTTTCAATGCCAATGAAAGCTCACAATGTGCACCAAATGTCCTAAGCAGTAGCTTAACTTGGAACCGTGATCAAAATGTCTTATTACACGATTAAGACAGAGATGTGTTGTTAAATGGGAGAATCAATCTGGCGGCAAACATAGGGCCGGTAGAATCTTAGGCTTTGATCTGGCTTATTTAACCATGACACATCCAAGTTGCAAGCTCCTAAGACTGTGGTCTACATAAAACAAACAAACAAACAAAAAAACACTGCTGATCTTAATGACAAATATACTGCTTAAAATGTATAAGCTTAATAAAGCTCTTGAGCTTTATTTAACATGTGCTCTTGAGCTTTATTTTCAGTAAAATAGCATAGGGAGGTTTAGTTAAATATAAAAAAAAAGATCTGTGAAGAGAAAAAAAAAAGTGGAACTGAGAACAATTGCGTATGGGACAATGTAATAAACAGGCGTTAAGACACTGATAGGAAGATGCATGGCTTTCCAGAGAATAACTCTTCCCCTTTTAAGAAGGTCTGTTAGCCCTTGCACTTTGATGTACAAGTGAAGCAGGCCTTCACTTGGACTGCTCATACAAGATTCTCACTTTTGTTCAACTGAAGTCAAGGCTATGTAGAGCTCGGCTACAGGCCCCTAGCCTTCCTCCGATTGAGAAATCTATGTAAACCACAGGAAGTTCGCTGTTAAATAACTTGATTCATAACTGACAAGTATTCCATTTTCAGCAAAGATTGATTCAGCTGGCTGGTTTGCATTCTGTATCTTGTGATTCCTGCTGAAGAAAATCAAACCAAACTATTTTTGGTGCATTTACACAAATGATTCATACGACGAATTAAGAGGAAAACGGCTCACCTATATTCTTATCAAGACAAAGCTTTTTTTTCAAGGATGCACTATATTTTAGGGGTGTAGGTTGTAGCTGTGTTGGTCTAAGGATATTGGTCTAAGGCAGACTAAGTTATTTAGGAAAATCTGATGTGTTTATTAGACCAACTAAAATAGTTGAAAAAATTCTTCACAAGATTTTGGGTACAAACAACCTTCCTTCAGGCTGAAGAAGCATCTGCAGCTCATTTCTATCCATGACAAATGTGTCTAAATTAGTAAAAAAGAAGCTAGGCTGTGCATTTAACACAGCAGCAAAGTCTGCTTCATGCAAGAAAGATTAGTGGGTCATAAAGACTCTTGCATGTGGTTTTCCAAAGTCCAACAACCTAGTTTTAGTTTCTAAGAATAGCTGCCTTAAACAATAAGTAGCGTACCTAAGCCTCACACAACGTGTACCATTAGCATTTTAAGCACTACAGATTTAAGCAAAAAAGACTGACCCAAATGCCCAACAAGTAAATGAATGAGTGAATGAATGAGTGACTGCTCCTTTTACACCAAAGGCGGTAGCATCTATTTACTGATAAAGACATGCAGTTAATCTGCATGCATACCAAGTAATCAACACTAAACGCTAGCCAAATCAGCTTCACAATTAAGTTTTAAAGAATTTCAGCACAACTTGCATCTAAAATTGTTTGTTAGGAATAGCATTTAATTCAGAGTCTGAATTAAAGATCATTTAACACAACTTTTATATGGAGTTGAACAATTCCTTCCCACCCCCACCTCAGTCTGACTGCAGATTCAATGGATCACCAACAAGTGGATAAAGTTACCCTGAACATCTGGGAAAGTAAATCGGAAGGTGCCTACAAGATCTAGAAATCCTTGTCCTGACA